GACTTTTGTCCAACCAACAATCAGTACATATCACTTTTTATAAAGCAGAAAAAAGCAGCAAATGAATATTTGATCTTTAAATTATACATTTTTGTTGATCTGCTAAATAAATGAATTAAGTTCAGGGCCCAGGCCATCAGGTGCACTCTTCACATACCAGCACTTAGTTTCACAGTGGCAATTAACAGATGATGTCATATTGATTATCACCGGGGGGGGGGCACAAGGAGCACAGAGACGGGATAAGTTTGGTTTAACATGTCGCTGCCAGCTGCCTCTCAAATCCCACATGGAGAAATGAGAATCCGTTTCGCCTCACGGGGAGGCAGCGGCGCTTTGGTCTGGTTTCATATCGACAGAAGCTGCTTGTCAGGTCTGAGGGTGATGAACAGTGTGTGTGTGTGTTGCCCGTTAGTAGAGATGCTTGTTTTTGTGTGCATGTCCTGTGCTTGTGAGAATCTCCTAGACTGAGGAGTTTGACTCTGTGTATAGAAGAGACCACGCTGAATCAGCTGCTGCCTCAAATGAATAACTACATGAAATTGCAAATCATTATATAAAATCCTGACTTGCAGATTGTTTCTCATGTATAAGGGACAATGGCCTGTAGGTCTTTAGTACAAACCTGGATGAAGAACATAGACCCTGACCAGAAGGCGGAGATCGCCGGGTTATGTTACTGACTCCTTGTGAAGCAGCTTTGCTTGACACTCTTCTTAAGGCTGCAGTCATCCCCTGTCCTACCTTTTCCTACCACACTTTTCCCTTCTAGGCCATGTACATATTTCGGTACATGGCCTAGAAGGACAGACAGCCAGCCCTTTTAGCGATGACCTCCTGTGGCTCAACCTCCTCGTGGAGGCTGTCGGTGATCGTCGTCTGGACAACTGTCAAGTCAGCAGTCTTCCCCTTGATTGTGGTTGCGTGTACTGAACTACACTGAGAGACACACGCTGTTTATACTGTATGAATAGTAATTTACCCAAACTCGAAATGAAACATTCTAACATTCTGAGATACTGGATTTTTGATTTTCATGAGCTTTAAGCCATAATCACTGAAATTAAAACAGAAAAAGGCTTCAGATATTTCTTTTCATGTGCAATGAATGTAAAATATACGAGTTTCACTTTTTGAATTAAATTATAGGAAGAACTTTTTCACAACTTTCAAACTTTTTGAGATGCACCTGCATTTACCTGACCAGTAAAAAACTCACTGGCAAATCAGCATTGAAGCTGTGGTGGAGCAGCCTCTGTGTGTGTTTATTGTTTGGGATGGTATCGTGTGTGTGTTTATGTTGGTGTTTGCTTGTTAATATCAATGACCAGTGTTGTGATCAGTGGTTTTGTCTACATGTCCTTTCTGAGTGTGTGTGTTTCTGCCAGGTGTGTGTGTGTAGCCCTCGGACCCAGGCTCATATTTCTCGCTCAGCGGTCAGCAGTGTCAGAGCTGGGCAGTGTTCTCAGCCTCCACTTCATCTCCCTCCTTCTCTCCTCTCTCTCTGGTCTGGCTCTCCTCTCCTCACGTTACTGTCTTCATCCTGTCTTCCTTTGCTCGCTCCTCCTCCTCTTCCTCTGCCCTGGGGACCCTCCTCGCCGCAGCAGTTGAGGCGTTCGATAGAAGCTTTTAGTTTACATCTGCAGCACACACGAGCTGGCCTGACACAATGACCCGCTGGGTGTGTGTGTGTGTGTGTGTGTGTGTGTGTGTGTGTTCTGGGTCTCAGTTTACTCTTTGCCGGAACCAGTGACACTAAGCTGCTGTTTGCTGTGGTTAGCACATCCAGCTCCTGCCCCTGTCTGTGTGTCTGTCTCTGTGTGTGCGTCTTGCTGAGTCTTTTTAAGGCCAGAAGATTATGAGCAAGACATACTGAAGACAGCACAAAAGCAACACATTTATTTGAGTTAGAAAACGTTTGATCGTTGACCGTCGTGACTCTGTGGCGTTCAGGCATCAGGTTTGGGTGGTTTTTCACAGCATGTTTCAGACTGGGTACCGTGTGGGAAGGCCTCCACTACAGACATCATGTGATGCCCCGCTGCCTGATGTGGCCACTGGGTTTTGATTCTGAAGGGTTTGACCCAAACTTTGCCACATTTCAGTCCTGAACAGTTCTAATACTCTGTGCTGCACACAAGGCTAAAGATTCAGATCTACCTGTGAAGCCAGTGGACCCGAAGATGATGATGTCAAAACAAAAGGTGCTGATTAAAACTATGCGCAGTTTTCCTTGTTGGAGTTGACACACTGCACTGATGGGAACCACTGACTGTTAGGAGCTTTGTTAAACCCCAAAACAGGAAACAAGCCCAGTATGAGCCCAGTGCTTTCTGTCAGGTTCACCACTCTGTTCTTGTGTTCGCCTCTAGTTCTTTCTCATCTGCCTGATTTCAGCTTTACTGCACTGTTGGTGTTTGTCAGTGCGACTGTGGGAGACACTAGGTGCACTTGGTTTGATGCTAAACAAACTGTCATGTGACAAACACACACTGAACACATTGAACTTGTGGTTTTGGTTCATTACGAGCTCCTGTAGCAAAGTAAGTTTCTTTTACTTTACTCTGCTGGTGTGTGTGTGTGTGTGTTTGGGCTGCTCCTCTGCAGACAGCATTAAATATTCATCCTCCTGCTTGTATTTCTCCTCTCATTTGTCTGTCCACCTCCTCTTTCCTCCCTTCCTACCTCCTCACGCTTTCCTCCCTTTCTTTTTCCGCTCCTTCCTTCCTTCCTTCCTGCCCTGTCCCTCTCCATTTCCCCCTCTGTTATTGGCTGTTTTAAAGGACATGTAAAGTGGGAGGAATTAAAGAAAGAACACAGTGAAAGAAATGACAACATAAAACAAAGCTGGGAAATGAAGCAAAGAGTGAGTGGACGGTCAAACCTCCTCCTCTATCGATCATTTCTGAAGACAAAGGGATTTTAATCCTTCATTCTGTTCTGGGTATTGACTTCAGGCCTCACGGGGCCCCTGTGTGTGTCCATGTTTGTACATGTGTTGATATGTGCATGTGTCTTTTGTCAGTTTCTCCACATTTGCATCAGTGTTTGTGTGTTTGTATTTCTGTTGAACCTGTGTATCATGTTCTCCCGTGTTACAGATGAATAATGTCCAGCTGCTGTTTGTTGCTCTCGTATCAGGTCCTCGCGTCCTCTGGGTGTCGGTGTTTGTAAGCAGGACATTTATAAAGAAACTGAACCTGCCTCTCTCTGTGTCTTCCTGTTTTAGTTTGAAACCATCGTTGTGAGGACATTGTAGTTGGTCCTTACAGGGTTCACCCTAGGTTTCAGGTTTAGTTAGGGTTGGGGTAAGGGGCTAGGGGGTGTGTTATGTCAGTAAGGATCCTTGTGTGTGTCTCTGCGTTGTGGTGTATATGTAAACCTATCCGAGCACAGTGAGGGGACATTTCAGCCTGGGTATCGGTTTGGTCGGGTCTGGTTCAGGGTCACTGTGATGTCAACGTTTGTGGTTTTATTGCTTTTATTGTCTGCTGCTTTTTAATCCAACACAACGAGACCGAATTAAACCACATCGATCCCCGTGTAGATCAGCCGCTGCATATCAAAACAACAGCCAGGTGCAGTGAAAGAAAGATCAGCCTTAAACAGCATAGAGAAGTGTAGGCATTAAAACAATATTAAACCATAAAACAACTTCACATTCAACAGTTTCAATAAATGGTAAAAGAAACTGTCACAGTTGTCTTTAAAACACCCTGTCCAGCTGTGGCACGCTTGTCGCCATCTTGGTTGCCTTTTTTTTTATTGGTATAGCTAGCTTGTTAGCTATGGCGAGTAGGCAGGTAGCTTTCTTACAACGCTCTGAGCGTTTGCCCTCAGTAAGCACAACACCAGACCTCTGAATCACTGAACAAATCAGAAATGTGGGCGTCAACGAAAGGTCTGGAGTCAGGGTGTCTACAGTAGGGCCAAACTCTGAAAACACTGGATCCTACACTTCCCATAATGCAACTTCACTTCCAGCTCTGATAGACTCCCCCTTGAGTCATTCAAACTCCATGTGTAGTTCATAACACAGGCTTCCTGTTATACATTTGGAGTCTCAATGTGAAAAGGGGGTGTTTTCCTGGTTGGGTAGGACGAGCCGTGTAGCGAACCGGCTTTGATGAGGAGGTTCATAGTGAGTAAAACAAATAACCTTTATAAGATTTTTATTCTAACGTGTAGCTGCTTTCTTCAGTTTATTTAGCCATCTCTAGGCGAGGCGCTCTGAGCTCACCAGTGTAGGGGCTGTCTCTCATTCATTCCCTCTACCTGCCTGTCTACATGTCCATCACCCTGTCTGCCCGCCTTCTCACCTTGCTGTCTGCCTGTCGATCTGCTTCGATCTCTCAGTCCATCCATCTGTCTTCCTCTTAGCCTCTTTTTCTCGCTCCCTGTCTGTCGGCCTGTCACTCACCCTCAGTCCACCTGCCTGTCTCTCTCTTTCGCTGTTCGTCTGTCTCTTGGGATCTCTGCCACAGGCCTCTCTGTCAGGATTACATGGCTTCAGGTTGGCCAACATGGACGCCGTTGATGGGGAAACAAAATGTTCCTCTCAGCACAAAGCCGCTCTAATCCGCTCTCCTCATCCCCCACAGCAGAGCCTGATTACACAGAGCTGGTTGGTGGGTATTAAGACAGACAGATGAACTGGCTGACTGGCTGACTGACAGGTTGACACTGAGTATTTAAGGCCAGGACAGTTGGGATCTCTCTGCAGCTGGCTGATTAGCTGATTACCTAACTAGTTAGCCTGCTAACTGGCTAACTGAACCTTCAGCTTGCCTGTTTGCTTGCTTGGTTAGGAAGCAACTTGAAGACCACTGTTGTGTGGTGGCTAGACAATTTTAATCCTGAAAATCACCTTGACTTTTCTAAACTGTATATATTTGCATTGTTTGGTGATTCACAAACAGTAAGGGTTACTAGGGCCACAGTGCCTTCACAGTGCTAAAACGTGTATTTGAATTGTGATAGTCTCTGTTTTGTCATTTCAGCCTTAAGGGCCTACACGTACCTCACCTTCTTCGACCTCTTCAGGTGAGTGTGTTCTAACATCCTCTGTCGCGTTTCCTCTTCTCACCTTTATTCCCAAAACATTCTGCATATGAATGTAATAAATGATCACGTTCAAGCCTGAAAGGCTTTGTCCAGAAATGTCTCTACAAACCAACAAATCACTCAGACTTTATAATATCTGTGTGTGTCACTTGTGAGGCAATAATAATTAATGAATTCTTTACATTATTCTTTAAGCAAAAATACCTTTTCTGGTTCCAGCTTCTCACAAGTGAAGATTTCCCGCTTCATTTTTTCGTGTTTGATAGTAAATTGTATCTCCTCAGAATTTAAAGATGTCAAATCGGGGAAATTTTGAGGTCATTTTTCATTGCCCATCCATCAATCCATTATCCTCTGCTTATCTGGGGGCAGGTCGTGGTGGCAGCAGGTTCAGTAAGGTAGTCCAGACATCCATCTCCCCGGTGACATGTTGTGAGTGCTTGTAGAAGCTCACAGTCTGATGAAACCAACAAATGGCAGAGATTTGAGACCCTGTCCATGAAAATCACAAACAGGATCAGTGAGAAGGGAAAGCCCCGACGAAGGCCGACATGTTCTCTAACATGGTTTCTAAGATGTTAGAGACCAGTCAATGAATCGGTTAATCACCAGATTGCTACACACACAGTTTATTTTCTGTTTTACAAAGTAGAGAAACAGAAGCATATGTGAGCTTTGTTGGTTTAATGGAGAACTTCCACTCATGAAAAATGAATTCTCAGAGTAGAATGAATAAAAAAATGGACAAAACGAGATGTGAACTCAAGCCAACCTCTGCTGTTTGTGTTTCTGTTGTCGGCCACGTGTCTCTCACTGACTCTTCTCTTATGTGCCCCTCTCTGCTCTGTTGTCTCTCGGTGTTCCCGTGTTTTCCATCCTTCCATCAATCACCACTCATCGTCCTCCCCTGCTCTCACCCTTCCATCCGTCCCCTTCTCCTCCCTTTGGCCTGCAGTTTGATCACCTGCCTCATCAGTTCCTGGGTGACCATGAAGAAACCCAGTCAGGGCTACTCATTTGGGTGAGTTCACCATGAAATCTGCTGCACGTTGTCCACTGCACTGAGTCTGACCCGTCCCCGGTACTTCAGCAGAGTTTGGTGACGTGTTATATTTGGATAAAATCTGCATTTAGTTCCTGTCCAGAGTCTGCTGCACAGGTGCTGCACACAAGCAGCTAACAGTGATTGAATTATAATCATCAATCGGTGATTATTATTCAACTGTGTAGAATAATAAGTAGTGAAAACTGCCTAATTACCTTGAAATATCTTGTGTTAGCTGAACAACAGTCCAGAATTGGACTCTGATTATATTAGAACATATTGACCTGCTGAAAAAACACGGCTCCACGTGTGTTTTTACAAGAAACTGTCACCTCCCACTAACACACACTGCAAACACATTACTGTTTGTGTGTGATGGTCAGCTAACTGTGTTTGTTGCTGACGGGTCACCTCTGACCTTGAGGTGTAGAAGATTGGTGATCGAGTGGAAATCTACTTTTCAGCTTCACTTGTGCTCCCATACGTCCTGTGTGTGTGTGTGTGTGTGTGTGTGTGTGTGTGTGTGTGTGTGTGTGTGTGTGTGTGTGTGTGTGTGTGTGTGTAGGCTTATGCTTGAGTTTACATCCTAGTGTGTGTTTCTGCCAGCGACTACAGTGTGCATGTGTGTGCGTGTCCCCTAACAGACCAGTGGCTGAGCAGCAGATTGACCAGTTTAACCCTTTATTTGGTGACCTCAGTGGGCATCCTCCATGAACAGTTGTTGAAAATAAGTAGTGTTTTATTGTTGTACATTTTTATGTTAAAATTAATTTGACTTCAGCTTTATCTTGTTTTTAAAAATATGTTTATATTTATACTTTTTGGGAAAATTATTACCCTGATTATTATGAATATTTTTAAAAAGTTAAAATTTAAAAACAGTGTCATAACCTCCAGTAATGGTCAAGGGCCAAAAATTTTAAATTTCCAAGTATTTTAATGAGTTCCCTGTAAAGGATTAACCAGTAGCAGCTTCTTTAAACCCTGTTGGAGTAGAACTAGGGTCAAGTCAGCGGTTAGGATTTAGTCAGTTATATACATTATGTCTCTGCCAGTGAAGATCAAACTATTCCTGTGCATGAACATTAGTCTCAACAAGCACATCCACATACTATATGACACAAGACTTGGAAATCACGAATGCCTGACTTCAGGTCAGGGCTGATGTCACGCTGGAAGAAGAGAGATTCTCAGGTTGGACATGAAGATCACACCTAGAAATATGGCTTTTCTCATAGGCTGGGCTCCTTTTCATATTCTTATTTTTTTGCTTTTACAGTTTGGATTGAAATATAACGCCATGGGTCCATAAAGACAGTCTGACTTCAGCTGGTTTGCTCAGTATACAGCTCCGTCCCACAGCACAGTGAGTGACAGACTAGTAGCCGAGCTGGTAGCACAACGGCGAGCCTGCTACAGAGATGCCACTTAGTTTATAAAGGCTAGCTACACCTGTAAACCATGGAAGACTAACCCCAGTGGTGGTGTGTGAAGTTGTGCCCTGTGCCTTCTGGACTTGTGAACAAGAGCCAGCTGACTCGCTGTGTTACTCCCTACCGGCTGATGTTTTCTCTAAACTGATGGATGTGGAGATTCTGAGTGATGCTGATTATGTGAAACCGTGTTTAGGGTCTGCTCTGTGGAAGACTGTCGGCCTCTGGGTGAGTGGGTTGGTGTGTCGGGGTTGACGGCGTCTCTCTGTCTCTCTCCAGGTTTGAACGACTGGAAGTTGTGGCCGTGTTCACCTCCACTGTTCTTGTTCAACTGGGAGCCTTGTTCATCCTGAAAGAGAGGTGTGTATGCCTCCCTAACACGTGACTCGGTGATGTCGGCGATGAAATACTAAATATGTGTAATGAATTAAATCATATTGTTTCCTCCTTCAGACAGTGATTTAGAGCCTCGTAAAGATCCTCTGGCTCCCTCTTTGGCCACGTTCACACTGCAGGCTGAAGTAGCTCAAATCCGATCTTTTTGCCCAAATGTGACCCATATCCGATTTTTTTATGACAGTGTAAACGGCACAAATCAGATTTTTTTCAAATCCGGCCCAGGCCACTTTCATATGTGGTCCTAAATTGAATACATATCCAATGTTTTGCAATGCGACTTCAGTCTGAACGGCCAGGTCGCATTTCATGCGATTTTTATGTCATTGAAATGCGACAGACGTCACAATTCTGCGCTGGAGGAGGCGAGGCCATAAGCAATATTTATGCTCTCCTCCTCCTTGTTGTTCTTCTTCTTATTGTTTCTTCATTTCGATTGCACATTAACTGGTACATCGCTACGCACATGCTATCACGAGCAGCATCCATTTTTATTTTCGCAAACACAGTACGCTGCGTCTGACGTCACGTCCTCTTCTGCGCATGCGGGTCACCTCAGGGCTGTATACCGTTCACACATGAGACAGATGGCAGTCGCATTTAAATGACAGTGTGAACAACAGCGCAAAAAAATCGGATTTCGGCAAAAGATCCGATCTGAGCATTAAGACCTGCAGTGTGAACGTAGCCTTTGTCTCCCTCTGTTAATATTTCAGTTGTTTTCTTAGCCAGCCCATCAGCAGAATTCATATTTCCAATTGTTTCCTTGTTTTGTCTTTGTTTTTTCCCTCCGATGATCAATTCCATGACCGTGCTTTGCTCCACGCAGGTGTGCGTTTCTCTACACGCTCAGCTCTGCTTTCTCTTCAGACAGTTCAGAAACTGTAGTAATTGAACCTCAGGAAGTTTCAGTGGCATCTAAAACAGCAAACAGTTTAGTTTATTATAACCCAGATTGTCCAAATGTCACATAGTGTGTGACCTTTTGTCCTCCAAATAAACCCCTCAGGTTTGTGCTAACTTAGCATTTCTCTAACTGATTACTCTCTAATATTATGTATAACTAGTACCAGTTTAAATGGTTTCTTCCAGAAAGCTGCTTTGGAAATTATTTGGAAATAAACTGGAATTTACAGACCTGTAAAGAAAAGTCTTACAGAAGTTGGTTTCATAGTAAATCACAGGAAAGTGTAAAGGCACATTTAAAGTGTAAATGACTCCAGATTTGAACCTGTTTAGATGCAGTAAGTAAAAACATAAAGGTGTTGCTTTATAATATGCATGAGTAATGACACACCTTTTGGCCAGGTGCGTCGCAGCAGTGTGTTGTTTTTCTCTCACCACCTGAGAGCACAACACTGTTTTAAAGGGGTGGCCTTGGATTTAGTCTTAAAGGGGAGGACTGTGTGGCATGACACACACACATGAACACACCCCTACCTCCAGGCCCTGTGTGGGGTTGTCTAGCGGTCAGTTCTCAGGGAAGGGAGGGGTGAATTTCCAGAATAATGCCACACACATGCAGGTCAAGCAGGTGGCTCGCTGCCTGTTAACACTGTGTTGTGCACGTGCATGTGCGTTTGGCTTAGCAGACATTTATACTTTGACTGAGTGTAACTGTGTTTGTTTTGCTTTGTCCATAACGGTAGAAAACCGTGTCTCTGATGGCTGAGCAGGTGTTTGTTAAAATGAGTCACACATAGTTTGGGTCAGCACTTCTGTTCCAAACCAGAGCTCAGGCAGTGAACACACTGCTGAAACTGACTCACACACACTTTCCAGGAGGAGGATTTTGCTACAGGAGGTGATGAACTCCCAGGTGTCCATGTAGAGACAGTAGTGTTTGGCTGGGTAATTTAATTCTGATTCACCTGTACAGTATATGACATGACGTATGATTCAGAAGTCCAAAGATATTTAGTTTATAATTACAGATGACTAATGAGGCCAAGAAGTGTGTGAACCAGTAGTCAGAGAGCGGTTGCCACTTTTGCTTTGATACATGGCAGTTAATTGTCAGAATGGTTCATTAATCAATTTACTGATAATGAACTATCTGATTCATTATAACAGCTGTGATATTGTTAGGAAGTAATGCTCTCCTGTTTGGAAGCACTGAGGAAAATGAGATGCTGCTTTAATCTCAGTGATGATCATTGCTGCTGGTTTCTCACATTTTACTTGATAAAGTGAGCATTTCTCTGGCTCTGTGCCGTTGTCTTTGTTTCTGGCTGAAGGACACAGTGCACGTCGTGAACAGCTCAGTGGGGCAGCAGCACAGGGGGAGGAGACCAGATTCTGTGTTTGTGCCAGTTTTCTTTTTTTCATGCACAGTGTGTGTTAATGTATTTCCTGTTTTGTTTGTTTGTTTTGATCACTGTGTCTGGCTCACACACACACACACACACACACACACACACACACACACACAGGCAGAGTAGTCCCACCTGACCAGCGTTGTTGACTGTTTGTTTCTGTTTTGTTAGTGTGGAGCGCTTCATGGAGCAGCCTGAGGTCCATACGTAAGTGTTATGCAAACACACAAACACACACAGTCTCTCCTCACAAACACACACAGAGTTCCAGCTGTTGTCGGAGCAGAACACCCCAAACATCTGGGCCAGACGGACAGAAATGCAGTAGGTGACTGACACTTATGTGCGCATTGTTACTGTCACCTTGATGGTGTGTGTGTCCACACCAGCAGAGTTAGTGAGACGCATGCAGGCCGTGCTGAACACTGTCCTCAGGGTCACATCAGCTCTGCCAGTGAGCAAACAACCATTCTTTATAAAATGTAAAAAAAAAAAAAAAAAGGGGGGGGGGGGGGGGGGGGTGCTCCCGGTGAGAGACTTAGCTGTGGAGCTTTTTAACCTCTAAATCACTTCATCTGTCTGCGTGTCTCTGACACTACTGCCTGACTAATTACTGAGAGAGGTTGGGCAAAAACTGGCAGATTAAGACATGAGAAACATCCTGGAGAGCAGGAGTCTTCATGACAGACCTGCCACAGTGTCACAGGCCCAGAAAAGATGTTTTAATCAGACTTCTAGCTTGTTAGTTTATAATGAGCCAAACTGAGGCTGTGTATTAGTTTGTTGTGTTGTCTGAGCACATCACCTGCCCTGCTCATTCTTTTCCTTCCTTTCCTCCATCGCCTTCCCTTCTCTCTCCATTTTAAAACGGATTAGTGGTGGCTTTTATAACCTAAAACAGAATGAGACTTAAACCCGTCTCCTGTGACGAGATTACCCCCCTCGTTTCTCCCCTTTTCCTCTCGCTGTCTCTCTCTCCTTCTCTGAATGGATGTGACTGGACAGCATGAGAGACGGCCGCTGACCAGAGGGACAGGTGTCTGCTGGGTAGAGAGACAGACGCACACGTTCTCCCTCTCGCTCTCTAATCTGTTTGGGCAAGCGTAGGGGTTTATCATCCAGTTACTGTGGCTCACCGTCAGCAGCCCTTCACCTCCTGCTGATTGTTCGGACCAGTTTTAAGGCTCTTAAAAGGATCGCCCCACGTGATTAGTGTGTTGAAGAGTACAGTTGTGTGTGTGTGTGTGTGTGTGAGATATATTAGAAAAGTTATGATTAAGATGCATAGAAATGGTAAATACCACACATAACCAATACTCTGTCCTGAAAGTGTTTCAGCAGCACTGTGACAACACTGTGGTATATGTTCCTGCACTGATGATGAATTTGTCAGCATGCGATTCCAAACACACAGTGTCTGTCTCTGCAGTGGTCGTCTGTTGGTCGGGACCTTCGTCGCTCTCTTCTTCAACCTGTTGACTCTGCTGTCTGTCCGGAACAAACCGTTTGCCTACGTCTCAGAAGGTACAGTCAGCATTCTCCCCCCAGTTCATCCCACTCTGTTGAGGACACCACATGCACCTTCAGTGTGGACAGAACACATCACATCTGGTTTTTGTTTTTTCAAACAGGCGGGGTGGATTTAGTGATGTCTGTGTCTTTGGGGTTTCTCCTCTGGACAGTGGAGGGCTGATAATCCTTGCCCTCACTGGGGAACAGACACAGTTTGGCTTTCGCTAAATTTTGGGGATTATTGAAGTAAATTGAAATGTTTGTTCACTGTTCTGTCAGTAGATAAACCATGAATGGAAGCAGTGGGGTCAGAGGTCAGTCCCTTCCTAATAGCAGAAAGCAGTCAGTTATAAAGCCAAACACAGCTGTGTAGTCATAAGACACAACAATATGTTTTTCATATTTTGTTCAAAAGGTTGCAGCTTCTGAACTGGATCTAAAGCAAACGTGTTTCAGCGTATCTGTCAGACTAGAAGGCTGATATTTATGTCACTGCTCTGGTCAAGTTAAACTGCTGATTGTTTAGCCATTAAAATGCTGGAAAATGGCAAAAACACTGGGCCACATCTTAAGTGTTTTATTAGTAAGTTGTTCTTAAGAAAAGTCGATGTCTGATTCATGAACGAGTTCTTAAACCACTGTGTTCTTATACTGATGAATCCCATGGGTTTGTAAGTTGAAAGCGTGTGTCAGTAGTTCCTAATTAGCATAGGTTATCGCCTCGCCATTTGGTTAGGGTTAAGGTTAATGAATGAATGTGCTGGCGTATCTAGCAGCATCAGTAGTGGATGTAAAATGAAACCAAAAGGACCCACAGGATGCTCTTACTCATTCAGTGAACAGTGTATAAGGAGAAGGGTACACGACTGATGGGTTAAAACAATGTTTGACCTTAAATTTGAGGCAACAAAACAAACACGGAGGAGAGGCACTAACCAGTGGAGGAGGACAGGCTGCCCAGAGGTGTCTGAGCTAGATCAGAGCCACATGGCTCTCTGGGGTGGGCCGTCAGCTGAGCAGACTTGCATGTGGGCACCCAGGTCCCTTCATTGATATCCATGCCACGTCTGTGCCCATCTTTGGATTAGCTGTAGCAGGTGGAGGGAAACGCCACCAAGATGGCGACGGCCAGACTTGAGCTTCAAAGCTGCTCTTCAGAAAACCAATAGGCTTCGTCCATCTTTTATATCCAGTCAGTGGTATATAGACAAGGCAAACTGACCCTCTGTTGTCACTGCTTGCCACAGTCCTTTTCCTGCTAACATGAGGAAGCCCAGCAAAAAGCTACCAGGAGTAGCAGAAGCTAACAAGTCCTTCTTTGCAAAAAGTGATTTAAAAATGAATGTTAATTTGTGGCATTGCTTTCCTTGATCTGGAGCAGACCGTGTCTGTTGACAAGTCTGCCAGCCCCACCCCACTGATGATCCAGTCACACTGCTGACAGAATCACCTCAGTACCAGGTGGAAACGGGGCCCGGGCTTTAAGATGAAATACCCAACAAAGGGTGTTATTGTCTTTGCAAGGACAAAATGCCCTCGTTTACTAAAATTGTTTCCTGTTCTCACAAATAGAGAACCAGCGCACACACAAACACACACGTATACACTTGAATAAACACATCAGTTACAGACCAAGTCCAGGACCCGCATTCCATCCTGACTTTATATGCAAACACAGAAACACTCAGCACACATTTGTTAAACAGTGGAGACACACAAGTTATAGGTCAGACATATTCACAGGCCAGTGTGGGCCCCAGGACATATTAACCTACTGAGGCTCAGTCTGCTGCTGACGCACGCACACACACACACACACACACACACAGACTGCTGCCTCTGTCACACACTCTAATTTTTACCTGCACACACAGTTGGATAGAAACATGTAAAGAGACATGCATGTAGAAACAGATGTGCACACATTTATAGGGACAAAATCACACTCAGACAAAACATATGTCAGGCAGCAGGTGGACAGAGATCAAGGATACATAGGGAGAGAGGACAGAGGAGGAGGAAACAGCAGAGTGTCCATGTGGGTGGACTTTTACTAATATTATAATACATCTCCATCTAATGATGCTTGTGCCTGTTCGTGCCCAGCCTACCACGTTTCCTTTTTCTCCTTCCTTGGAAGTAACAGGCCAAGGCAAGGAAATGAGAAAAGGTAGAAAGGAAGGAGATGAGGAGACTGGCATTAATCTGATGTAACAGAGTCATGTGCTTCTCCTCACATTTCCTCCTCTCCTCTCCAGCTGACTCACTGTCTGTATGAGCAGTTCACTGATGAACGAGGTCAGTGTGTGTTTGTGTGTGTGTTGTCAACTGTCTGCTTCTGCATTCACAGCCGTCTCAACATCACTTAACATCTGACATTTTTGGGAAGGAAGGGGGGATGAAAACGATGCACAAACAGAAACTAAACTATGCCGTAACACACAGTCTCTCTCACACACACTTTCTCTCCCACTGACAGAGACTAAAAGTGCGTTATGCAACCATGTTCCAGACAGTGGTGATGTAGTGAGCCAGGGGCGCAGGCGGGAAGAGAGGCATGCCAACACACACAGACACACTGTTACATCCTCCTTGCACCCGCAGATCATAAATAAGTCACTGTTAAAATGTTTGTTTGGACTGACTCACCCTGCTAGCAAAACAAACACAACCCCCGTCCACACACACATGCACGCTTGGGTCAGAGCAGGATGGGAGGATACCTAGCGCTGAGCCTTCGGGCATTGCAGTGTCGTCTAAAGGGGCTTTCAGACAGGACGTGGTGGGCGCCGCGCTCCGAACCCATTTCTGTGTTGTGCAGAGCAAGAATGTATCTGTGCTGCACTGAGCTGAGCGCAGCAGTTGTCACTGTTTTTCAATTTTCATTTATTGATACTGACAAGCACCGCCTTCTGTGATGGCCAGTCGGGTTCTGGTAGGTTCTGGTAGGTTCTGGTAGGTTCCTGCAGCTGAAAAGAAAACCAGGCACTTGTGAGACACCTTTAAAGATTGAGGAGGATTTTTGTTAAGAGATTGTGTTTATTAATGTTGACGTAGTGAATTAGGAGACAAGTCGTATATTAATGCCCCCCCCCCTCTCTCTCTCTCCATAGCGGCCAGCAGCAGTTGGCTTCAGGAACATGTGGCAGATCTGAGCGGAAGGTAAAAACCTCCTCCTCCTCCTCCTCCCCTCTCTCTCTCTCTCTCTCTCTCCATCAGCAGAACTCAGTCACAGGTGGGAACAGGATGTATCTACTTACACCGACTCAACACTCACACACACTCCTGACAGTGTTTCTGCCTACACTGTGAACCTGTGTCAGAGTGTGTGTGTGTGTGTGTACATATTGGTTTCCTCTGAGGTCAAAGGTTGCTTGCGGTCAACATGGTGGACATGAGGTCACAGATTGAGCTTCGCAGTGTTCTGGTTGTATCCCAAAGAGTACAGCGAGACGAGAGCACACATGCCCCACACACACCCCTGCTTAGCTTCCCCTGGATGGTCAGGTCAGAGGTCACAGGTCACTGTAACTGCAGCCCTGATTTCAGAGTGCTGATGTGTGTCCCTCCTGTGCAGCATACAGTATGCCAGGTTTATCTGTTTTACATAATTATATTATATATATATTATGTTCTTACTGGCTGTAGATTAACATTCAGATTAACACAGCTGTGCTCATTTACATCATCAGTGTTGGTAAAGATAATTAAAGACTTGCTGTGCCACAGTATTTTCCATGCCTGACGGTGAGTTTCAACAGGTTTAGTAACACTCACTTAACACACATTGTTTTTATTTTTTTTGCTCCATTATCTGTAGAGTTTTGAGACGTTTATGCATGAAAATCCCAGATGATAAGTGGTTTAATAAAGGAGACACTCAGCTACACATTGTTCATTTAGTTTCCCATGTTGTAATGAGATGTGTTGCACTGCTTAATGTGGCTCAAACCCAACGTGTCTTTATAATGGTACTTTAATTTAAGGTGATCATGCACACTAATCCGGTTTCTGTTGTGTTTGTTTTTGAATGTGTGTTTGTGTGTACAGTTTGTGCGGCATCATTCCAGGCCTCAGCAGTGTGCTGCTGCCTCGTATGAACCCGTTTGTCCTGATCAACATGGCAGGAGCTCTGTCCCTCTGCATCACCTACACGCTCATAGAAATCAAGTAAGGGTTCATCTCTGTCTGTGGCTGATAAATCCCCAAACAGACCAGAAACAGACCCACTCAGGTTTTTACGCTGTGACTTCCTCTCGTCCCTTGAATCATTAAGGCTGAAGGCGATAAAAAATGACAGCTGTGTGATTCTCAGATTATGGAATAGTGTCAGTGGTCTCAGTTTCTGTTTTGGAGCATTTCCTTTAGATTTTACCACATGATCTTCCTCAACAGACAGACTTTGCCCACTTGTCATGGAATTGTAAATTTATTTTTGTCTTTTTTGCTTAAGAGCCGAGGATCAGAGTTCATGTTTGATCTTGGAAACAACAGCTGAGAAAAGATTCACCCCCAGGTCCATTTAGTAGCTGTTCTGGAGCCAGTATTGCATAATCTTCAATCATCTTTTTGGCCAATGTGCAAGAGAAGGCATGAAAGTGCTCTGAGAAATTTGAGCATTTATTGTTTCATGACAATTGAGGAGACACCATCTGTTGAGGAGGATCATGTGATCTGCTCTAAATCTATGAGCAGTAAACAAGGCGATGTACTCGTAAGGAGCCAGGGGCACTTTGGTGGTTATGAAATGCCTAACTAATGAGAGATTGAACATCTGAGGTTAAAATGTTTCTATTTGACATCTTCTATCTGGGTTTGTTGGTGTCTGCCCCTCGGCCCTTTTCCCACCCACTGTTTGTACGTGTGAGCACATTAACTAAGGCCTAAGTAAGTGGTTCACACAGCACTAGTGAGTGGTTTACACGGTCGAACCAGGACTTAAATAATAACAGTAAAAGTCAGAACACAGTTGAAAACATGGAGACGACTCCAGAACCGCTCCGCTCTCATAGGCAGCACTCGGAGAAGCAGTGTTCACTGTGGGTGAAGTGACCTGAGGTCTCCTCCGACTTTGTTCCTTTAAATCAGGGCTAAAGTCTTTTCTCTGTGATGCTGTGTTGTTATTTTATTTATCTTATTTCTCACCATAACTGCACCGTCACCTGTCTGTGTATTGCATTGTCTTTCTGTTTCTTTTCCTCTTGTGTTAGTGCCTTATGTTTACAATGTTTATTTCCTTTTGTTGTGTTCAGTAACTACAATGCAGTGGACACGGTGTCAGCAGTCGCCATCGCCCTCATGACGTTTGGTACCATGTACCCCATGAGCGTCTACAGCGGCAAAGTGCTGCTGCAGGTAACACAAATGTGTCTGTGCCACGTGGAGCCCTGCACGCTGTGTTGTCCGCCTTTAATCGTAATTGTAGTGCCTTTTGTTGCTGTTTGTCTGACAGTTGCCACAAACATGCATGAAGAATAAGAAGGAGCACAGTAAAGGAAGTGACGAGCACTAGGGCATTTATGTTTTTTTGTTTTGTCTCGTTCACAGACGACGCCGTCCCACATCATCGGCCAGCTGGACAAACTGCTCAGAGAGGTGAAGCACTGTCACTGGGTTAACCCTAATACCTAACCCTGTATGAAAACAACAATATCATTAGTTTTAAAACCCTTTTCAATGAGGTATGGGCTTGATTTGTTTTTACTTCAGAGTTCTGACGTTGTGGAAAGAGAAAAGGAATTTTCACTCCACAAATGACAAATTGTAATTTTAATACCTCTATGAAAAGATGATTCTCTTCCGGGCTGACTATAACTTTATATAACTCTAGTATTTACTGTGAAATTATTTAACTTTCAGCCTACAGCCTCCACATCAAGTGTGGTAGTCGTAGCACCAGGTTGTGTTGGGTTAAATTTATGGGCTTCAACGCCCACAAGGTTTTAAGTTTACACAGAGTCAGCGTGTGAAGTTTGTCGGCTGATTGTTGCTGTGTGTCCACTCAGGTGTCCACTCTGGACGGCGTGCTGGAGGTTCGCAATGAGCACTTCTGGACGGTGGGCTTTGGATCTCTGGTACGTTAAAGAGCCAGACCTCTTCTCATGTTGCATGTCTGTAGCTGTTAGTTAACAAGCAGAGCACAGCACAGTGCGTTCTGATTGGCTGAAACAGGTTCATCATTAAAATAGGATTTTACTTAGATGTGTCTTCTAGTGATGGAGGCTCAGCCGTCTGTGTGTCGTGTGTCAGGGCCGGCGCTGCCGTCCTATAAAAACTCAACACTTCACCTATAACTGTCTACAAAAGTCTGTAGAGTTCATGGCTTCAGCGCGGCTGTGAGCACAGCACGCAGCAGCTTCAGGAACTTATCCCGAGACACAGAGCCCAGCCCAGCACCTAGTGCCGCTAATAAAAAGATCTGGCCCAGGGTTCTCAGTCAGTTTGTGGTAATTAGGTTCACTTCTCAAGAAAATGCACCTTGTGATGTTAATGTAAACTAATCTAATAAAGCTGTTTTGGACACAGCATAAGGAAACAACCCAGGAGCTGGCCCTGGTGGAGTTTGTGCTTTAGTGGGGAAAATTCCTCAACAAATGAACAGGTAGGTACTAGCTCACAGTGAAGCTGGGCCTGTGTTGTTTGAGAGGTGGAGCTGTGGGGCAGGACGTCGACCTGCTGCAGTAACTCTCAGACCCTCTGTCTGTGCTCTCTCCCCATCATAACATTTTGGGTTCCTCCTGTTTTCTGTCATTGTCCTCTCTGTCCTCCCTCCTGCTGTCCTCCTATTAGTTTGCTTGGTTTGTTTGTCTCTGTTTCTAACACCCCCCTCCATCTCATTCACCCCTCTCAGTCATTCGGCGGTTTGAGCAGCGATCTGCATGGATTAGTTCACTCAGACAAGAAGAAGGAACGAGTCATTCATGCGGAGATGTTCCCTCCCTCTCTCTGTCTTTCTGTGGTGTTTGGAGGGAACGTTGATGTTTCTGTGTCACACAATGTTATAGAGACGGCAAACATGGCCAGCTGGCTCTGGGGGGGGGCGGCCGAGGTCCTGGGAAGCACACACACACACATACACACACACATCAACATCTGTGTCTTTTTACAGAAACACACTGTCCTGTCAGGACGGACACTATTAATTAATAGATGATCATTAGATGGCGATCAGGCTTGAGGACTGTGATTGGCTGCCGACATCTTTCTGACAGCGGTTTGTTGAGTGAAGTAGTCGTCTTCTTTTCAGTGGCCGATATCTAACAAGGAGGTCACACCACAAACCTACTGACCACTGAACGAGTGTAAACACGGCCTCACTCTCATAGTAACGAGACGGCGAACTAACGACAGAAGTCAGAAGTCGATTTCTACACATCTCTTTGTAGTTAACAGTTGTTCTGTTCAAGTACAGCAATAACGAGTTTCTTCCTTCCAGCTGTTCTTAACCCAAGGCTTGTTATGTGTCAGCTCAAAACTTTGGAAATGCCTGAGAGTTTACCAGTGTTGTGACTACGGTTGGTTTGTCATTTCACCTTCTCACTGTTTCTGTTTGAAAGATATAGATAATGGATGGAGCTACACATGGGACATGGGAGGGAGGATTTTAGGCCACTGTGTCACTAGAGCTGTGTCAGATATCACTCCTTGTTTACTGCTGTAGATGGCGTGCTACATCCTCTCAGCTCCAGACCCGCTGACAACACACTGAGCTCTGGTTTTCTTTAAAAATATGAGCTTATCTACATGGTACAATATCTTATCATTATGATTTGGGGTATGTTTGCAGTGAGGAGGCAGAATGGTCTCGGTATTCCTCAGCAGGAGGCGTTCGTAGGTTTGAATCTGTGAAAATGTCAGTTGGATGAAATCACATACCTCCTGCTGCCTCTAGGTGGAGCAGCGTCCTCTGTTTACCTCGGATGCTGCTTTTGTTGTTGTTTATTTATGTTATGGATGCCACTGCTCCTGTTGTTGTTGTTGTTGTTGTCAATGATGCTGCTGCAGTTACACAACTGTTGGTTTTTGGCGAGCTGCTAACAGAGCAGCTGTCCAAACTGATTTGACCCTCTGACTGCACTCCTGCCCCACGGGGGACTCACTGTGTGTGTGTGTGTGTGTGTGTGTGTGTGTGTGTGTGATTCTGTCTACTTGAGGGCTGAATGTCCCCACAAGGGCAGCGAAAGCAGGAAATAAGGACAAAATTAGGAGCTTGGTTTAGTGTTGTGTGCTCAGATTTAAGAGTTGGAGACATGGTTGTGTTTGTTTAAGCAGCTGTTCAAGGTTGTTTTAAGAGACGGGCTGATGAAGACCACGTCATGGCTGCAAAGAGGAAGAAAAGCATCAACAATAAAATCCAGCTGAATATTTAATCATTTTTATTTCAAACCCAGTAGCCATGTGTTAATGTGAAGAATGAAGCAATATTCTGTATTTTCTTATTGTCAAAAATGCCATGGGCAGAATCTAACACTGAAATGTCTCGTACTAACAAGCACCATGTTATCCAAAGCCTGATTCATCCGCCACTGAAAATAGTCCCTGGTAAATTCACAGTTTTAGGAAATGACTGAATCTCTAAAAGTAAACTACATATTTGTGAGGTGTTTTTATACTTTTA